GCAATCTGATTCTCTGTTGTCGGAAATTTCTTTTTGTGAGTCATACTGCTGCCGTATGCGATAGGCAACAATAAACTATAGAAGAATACAAAAATTGATCGCTTCATTTAAGTATTGGATTAATATTTAAGCTTACCCTTTAAAAGTTCAACGATAATCCTTCTGCCGCCACTTAATTTGAAGACAATCTTATGTACGTTGGCAGGGCTGGCCTAGGTTCTCACCCCACTTCCCGAAACTTTGATACCCCCACCCCATCTACTACATGTCGATTTCAAATTTCCCTAACCTGGGGGGGGGCACAAAGCCTCGAAGGAAAATTGGTGGGTAAGGACTGCGCTTTTTTAAATTACTAAAAATCGGGGAATTATCCAATTTAAATGGAAATTTCAGTAGATATTCATTATTATTAGTTATTTTCATTTTGGCGGCATTTAGACGACAATTTATCCATCGCACTCTGTATATCTATTGAAAATGAGACGACAGTATTATTTTAATTTGGGCGGCATTTAGACGACAATTTATCCATCGCACCCTGTATATCTGTTGAAAATGAGACGACAGTATTATTTTAATTTTGGCGGCATTTAGACGACAATTTATCCATCGCACCCTGTATATCTTTTGAAAATGAGACGACAGTGTTATTTTAATTTTGGCGGCATTTAGACGACAATTTATCCATCGCACCCTGTATTTCTGTTAAAAATGAGACGACAGTGTTATTTTCATTTTGGCGGCATTTAGACGACAGTTTATCCATCGCATCCTTTACATGAATACCACGTTTTGAAAATTGAGACATAGTAGACTGGTGGAGTCTATCATATATTCGGTAGAGGGAACTAAATTTTTGCGCCGGTACTGCTTCTAAGTATTTCATTGATATCAGACCAGAAATGTTTTTTGATTCGCTCACAGAGTCGGTCTGGTTCCAAAATGGTATGATATTTTGGGCTACGGTCTCTAGGCGAAAAGTTGAAAACACGGGCAATTTTATTTTGAAACGCTGTCATTTGAGAACAGTATTTTTTTCATTTGAACACGAGCTATTGAAATTTAGAGAGTTATGTCCCTTTAATTGTTTTTTATCAGTAGAAGACAAGATGGCAGAATCCGAAAACAATCGCAGTTAATGAAAACTTGGGAATCCAAAATTTCAGGATTGCAGATCCGGAACCGGCCAGGAATTTTTTTTAATTTGTTCACGGAGTTGACCTGATTCCAAAATGGTATGATATGTTGGGCTACAGAATCTAAGAGAAAAGTTGAAAACACGAAAAAGTTTGTTTTGAAACATTGTATTTTTTTTTTTAATTTGAACACGGGCTATTGAAAATTAGAGTTGTGTCTCCTTAATTGTTTTTATCAGTAGAAGCCAAGATGGCAGAATCCGAAAACAATCGCAGCGATGAAAACTTGGGAATCCAAAATTTCGGGATTGCGGGTCTGGATCCAGACCGGAATGTTTTTAATTTGCTCACGGAGTCGGCCTGACTCCAAAATGGTATGATATGTGGTAATACGGCCTCTAGGAGTAAAGTTGAAAAAGTGTGACACACTGACATTCGCATTTATTTATATGGATATATTATAGATTTCTAATACATTATATAGTATAACTACCAACAAAACATTTTAAGAGCAAAATGACTAACAATATATTTTATCTGTAATTGAATGAATACAAATGCGTTCAAAATATTTACATTTCGGCATTAAATAACCCATAGAGATGTTGATATGCCGTTAAACAAAAACAGCCAACCAACTAATTTCTCATGGGACTAGACGGAAAAATTAATTAGTCTTTTGAGGCGAGAGGGCCTCTACATTGTTTGTATTACGTTCTCTCAATGTAACACGTGCTAATTTCAAACTCTTTCGCTCATTAGAAAACTCACCGCATGACCTTTCCACGAAGTTCTTCACCAAGAAGAATTCCACTCTGAAAGACTTTTCTTCGCATTTCAAATATCTTTCTCCAACTTGCCAGTCAATGCCAAGAATCATCGCTGCTCGTATATCAGTACAATATATATATATATACATACACATACACACAAACACACACACACACACACACATATATATATATATATATATATATATATATATATATATATATTGTAACCCTGGGTTTCACGCTTTTGCGATCAACAGACAAACAAACAATTATCTAATAATCGCAGAAGCGTGAAACCCAGGGCTAGGATCTCATATCCATACAACTATATATATATTTATATTTATACACACACACACACACATATATATATATATATATATATATATATATATATATATATATATATATATATATATAAAAGTGAATATGTTCACTTTTATATTTACACACGCTCTATCTCTGATAATGAGTACTTAAGACTATATTTCTTCATATATATATATATATATATATATACGTTTTACCAGTTTGTGGCTGGAAGGGATAATACCAAGGAGGATATAAATCCAGGAGAGCTCAATGTAGACT